GGTGCTGGGAATCAAACTCAAGTCCTCTGCAAGAGCAGCCAGTGCTCTTTAACCACTGAGCCGTCTCTCCAGCACCCCGAGCCCCTTGTTAAACAAAGGACACAGGGAGCCTGCTGAGGCTGATAGGGAAGGCTCTGGACTCCTCGTGCTGATGCAGAGCCTGCTCCTCCTCCTGTCATCTGGATTTCCATTTCACTCGTGCCCACTCTGATCGCTTCTTCCCTAACTATTCCCAAGAACATGTCTTTCAGAGTGCCCAGTGAAGCCGTTGAGTCTCATGCTGCTTGTCCTCTCAGCATCTAGGGGTGTGGTTGGCAGGCTGTCTCTCTCTTTTGTCCTTCAGCCATTTCTTCCTAGTCTCCATTATTAGAGTCTGTCAGTGAGTGCCCTCATCTAGTGCCGCCCTTGTGGCTCCTGCATCTCTTTGGAACTCAGGCCCCACCCTCCCTGACAGCTGCTGGGATCCTTCTCATTGGCATCTCCAATACCCATAATTCTGAACTGTCCTGTCTGTTTTCAAAGCTCTCCTCCCCAGCACCCTCTGAGCCCATTTGGTAAAGAGCCTTGTCTTCTGCTGGAGTCTGTTTTTCCTTCAATGTCCTTACTCTGTGAGCAGTACGCACATGCCATAGCACACACGTGAAGGTGAAAAGACAACTTTCAGAAGTTGGTTCTCCTCCACTGTGGATTCCAGAGGTGGAACTCAGGTCCTCAGGCTTATGCAGGAAGGACTTTTACCCACCGAGGCATCCATCAGCCCCTTTTGTGCTTTTCTTCACTGTCGTTCTGGGGGACACTCTGGTACTGACTCTGCATCCTCTTTCCCAGCCCTGCAAGGCTCCCGTGAGCTCTCTACTGTGCTCGTCATCGTCCATGGCCCCATTGTCCTACACAGTCAGAAGATTCTTTGACAGTTAGTGGATCACAGAGGTGTTCCACTTCTTAAGATTCACGTGGCGTGACCCAGAGCCCCAGTGTCCTGTGGTGTAGACCTTATCTCCTTTCCTCTTGATCACACCAAGGGAATCTTGTAGTGCATCTTACAGTGGAAAGGCCTGCCCAAGGCCAAGGCGTTTCAAGAAAAGGACTGAGGGGTTAGAAGGCAGCTGCCGACAGATTGAAGCCCCTCTGGTGATTTCCCTCCCCCCTGACTGTCTGGACCCTGATATTTGGGCCACATTTTGCTTTTCCCTCTTTTGGCAGCTTATCTTGTCAGGGTAAGCTTGTACCCTGCTCTAGCTTTGGCAGGGGAATGTACACTTTGTGTGGGAGGCCAGGGGGCAGACCTGGTCCATGCACTGCATGTAGAGGCCAGTTCTTAAGCATTCATAGACAGCATCAAGACTGATAAAGATGGTAGGAGGGAGGCCTGCCAGTCCCCAGCTTCCAGGGACAAAGCTTTCACTGAGGACCAGCCTCACCTAATCCTGCCTTGTTGTTCTGACTCACCAGAGCACCCCAGGAGTGTTTGTGGTCCAGAGTGTGCCTCCTGCAAAAGAGCGTTTTCTTCCTACTCCACCAAGGAGCCTGTGTACCAGCTGCCCTGTGGCCACCTTCTGTGCCGACCCTGTCTGAATGTGAAGCAACGCTCCCAGCCCATGATGTGCACAGCCTGCCAGCAGCCAGTCACCAGCCAGGATGTGGTTCGGGTCCACTTTTGAGTAACGCGAGCCTCAACCAGAGAAGCCCCATTTTGGGGGAGACCTGCAGGTGGAGGAAGCAAGAATAGAACCCCAGCGCCCCTGTTCTCTCTTGGGTTTTAGCACCTCCTGGTGTGTTACGGAGCTGGGCAGGACACCCCACTCCTGCTTAGGCAACAACAGGATAATGAAGCCATAGGCTGGCTAGGGGGGCATTCCTATCCTCCCTGGCCGGCCTTGCCACTCCCCAACCAGAGCCCCATGTTACCTGCACACAACCTTTTGTTTTATTCCATTTTGTTTTGATTCTTTGAGACAGGGTTTCTGTGTATAACAGTCCTGACTGTCCTGGAACTCACTCTGTAGACCAGACTGGCCTCTTCCTCCTGAGTACTAAGATTAAAGGTGTGTGCCGCCGCCACCACCACCTGGCTGCACACAACCTTCTAATGGAGCTTTGTGGGTGGTGTTCAGTAGACTGTGACTTGGGACCTCACACAGCCTTCTCTGCCTCAGGGTCACTCCGAAGTAGACCATTGTAGGGGTTGTTAAGCACATGACTTAGCCATGTGTCCTCCCAACCCTGCAGACACTTGGAGCCTTAATACAAAGACAGTTGACATTCACTGAAGCTTCCTCCTGGCACACAGGCCAGCACAGCCATGTGCAGTGCCTGCCGCCTGTCAGGCAGTGGTTTCGATCTGTCCAGCATGGGTGTGTCAGTGCTAGGGACGGCCAGTAGCTTCTATCAGGCCAGGTGCCGGAGTCTGTCTGGTTGCTCTGGTGCCACTCTCTGAAGGAGGAGATTGCTGTTCTGTATGTAGCCCACTGCAGGAGAATATTTGTGTATAGGCAACATCTTTAACCAATTCTGTCTATGTATATGGCACATGTGTGCCATGGTGTACCTGTGGAAGTCAGAGTACAGCTTCCAGGAGTTGGCTCACCCCTTCCTACTGTGGGGTTCCAGAACTGAAATTCAGGTCATTAGCACGTGGCAGTCTCCTTTAATCTCTGAACCACCTCACTGGCTCCGTAGGCTACATTTTTTTTTCCATTCAAAATTAAACTTTATGGAGTCCCAAAGAAAACAAGGATTCTGTGCAGCTCTGTCCACTGTCAAGAGCTTCTAGACATGAGAAGAATATCTGTGCAGATGACCGCACTGTCCCTGTCCCTTGCAGGCATGCTCCGCCTTGTCTTTAAGATAAATTACAGTCTCTTGAACCACATGTTTTTCCATCCTTCAGGTCGCCAGGGCTCCGTCCTGAGGCTTAGGGAATCTGCTTTGAGAGTCCCCAGGGGATGTGTCCACAGCCGTGGCCAGTAGGGGATGTCGCCTCCTTTCTCCTGCACACCAGAGCCAGCTGTGCCGCGGCCGTCATGGGACCTGCACTGTCTGGGGGCTCCGCACATCCCCACTCTGCCCGAGTTTCCCTGCTGTGTTCTGTTCCTAGCCCATGCAAGTACAGAGGGTTGGATTGGGGGTCAGAACCCACCCACCGCCTGTCACGGTCTCCGGGGTGACCCGCTTCCCTCTCGGCCTTTCCAGCCCTCTGCCCCCAAGATGCCGCTCCTCGGCCACAGTTATCCAGAGGTCCTTGTCCTGTTCTGCTGCAAAACGAGGTCTGGGAGCCCCTGGGGTGGGCAGGACTTACCCTGAGTCCAGTGGGGACCCACCCCCACCCCTTTAATGTGACTAAGCATTTCTCTTCAAGATCTGACCCCCACCCCCAGGGAGTGCTCTTTTTCTCCACCCTTGCCAGCACCACAGAGCTGTTTTTCTTCCCTAGAATACAAGAATGAAAGCTGGGGTGGTACAAGCTTGTAAACCCAAACATGAGGAAGACTGCCATGAGTTCAAGGCCAGCTTGGGCTACATAGCAAACACTTATCTCAAAGACACCAAAATAAAAAGAAATATGTTATTTGGCCCCATGGGCATTTTATTTGTCATTAGAGACTGGGCCTGAAACCAGCCCTAAAACACCTTCCCAGGAAACATGCGGAGTTCCACTCCACTGACCAAGAAGACTCAGCCACAACAGTGCCTCCACCTGGCAGCCTTCCATAGCTGTCCTGGCCTTTGCCTGGTAATGGGGTCATGTACTCAGTGGAGGTACAAGGCTGGACCTGCTGGAGACATGTGGCACTCCGGTCTTCTGAGAACAGAAGGCAGGCCAGCTGGGGGTGACAGGCACACAGCGGCTGCTGCAGGCTCTGGGTCCTCATTCCCTAGGCGAACAGGTGAGCTGCCCTGGGGGGCCAAGGCTCTGACCCTCAGCCACCCCCTGAGCAGCTGGAAGGGAGGCTCTGTCACAATTAGTCTTGAAAGTAGAAGAAATAGAAGAACCAGAGAGCCAGGAAGAAGACCAGCAGCTGCTCAGTGCTGACGGAGAATCCCTGTTCCCTGCAGGCGGGCGGCTGGTCCCTGCAGACCCTGGGTCCTGAGACTGACTGGGTTCGTCCAGCCCCACATCTGTTCGACTTCTTCCTATAGGTCTCCATCTTGAGGCCCCTTTCCAGTCCCCAGGAAACAGGGTCCTCTGACGCTGAGTGCCTGTAACTAGGTCTGCAGACAAAAAGACCAGCCCCCCACTGCCAGTGGCATTGTGACGCACAGTGGCATTGTGACAAAAACCTGAATGCCATTGTGATGGCCACTGGGGCGGGAGTGGGGCTCCTGTGGGGTGGCCTTCTCCCACAGAGCTCCCACGGGGATTCTGTAAGGAGGACCCGGCCTGCGGCTCCCCCCACAGCTCTCTATTCAGACCTGCTGTCTTCTCACCTGGCCTCCCGGCCGCTCGCACGTGCAGCATCTTCTCTCAGGTTCTGAGTGGAAAGGGAAGAGCCAGGCTGGGAAGTGGCCAAAGCCACGCTGTTGAGAAGAGTCAGCTTTAGTTACTGGGTGGCATGTCTCATGACTGTATTCCCAACCCCTGTGCATTTGAGGCCAGCCTGGGGAACAGAGAGAACCCTGTCTCAAAACAAAGCAAATTGAATTTATATTCCTAGGGTCACCAGTCAGCCACATTGCCTGGGAGCTATTGGTTTGGACAGTTGAGATACAGACCAGTTCTGCCGTCACAGTTAAACGTGATCACAGTGCAGGGCCAAGAGGTGGTGTGTCCGTCACGTCCTAGAAACCCTTCTCCGAGGGTGGAAGACTCCTAAAAGAAGGAGAGAAGAGCACAGGCTGGCTTGGGCTGTCAGATGGGCTTGAGCCCCTGTGCTAACCACTGACCTGCCTGGCTCCACTTGCTGAAGTGGCTCTACCTGCCATGCCCTCCTCTTCCCCATTTCTTGGGATGACACCTGGGGTCTCATTCTAGGCAAGTGTTCACCACCAGGTGACATCCTCATGATCTTCCCAGAAGAGAGGATTCCCAGAGGGCACAGAGGGGACGAAAAAGGAGAGGGACAACTTGTTACGACTGCTTGTGTCTTCGAGCAGCAAGACATCACTACTTGCTGCCACTCAAAATACGTTGGTGGTGTCTCTCCCAACACCCCCCTAAAAGCCGTTCCCACCGGGCACCTGTGCTGGGGGATCAAACCCCAGGCCTTGGGCACTTGAGGCAAGTAAGCTGCTACTGAGCCACAACCCCAGCCCCAAATGGGGCATTTTATATGTGTGTAAGGGTGTGCGTACACACACGCGTGCCCGTGGTGGCCAGAAGAGGACATCAGGTCCCCCTGGAACTGGAGTTCTAGGTAGTTTAAGCCGGCAGACAATGGGTGCTGGGAATCTAACCCCACTGGAAGTGCAAGAAGAGCATCTAACCACTGAGCTACCTCCCCAGCCCCAAGAACTGTGTATATAGCATGCTTACTAGCTATTCTGGGCACAACTGCCTGTCCTTCCTATCAAGCTTACTGGAAGAACAGTCAGTCACCAGGAAGAGCTTGAAGTTTGGGGCCTGGTATAGCTTAATGCTCAGCCCATTGTCCGCTGCAGTTTGCTCAAGAAGCAAGAGTCCAGAGCTGGGCTTGGGTGTTTTTGGAAGAACTAATCCATTATAGATTAAAGAAACAAAAATCCAAAAGTAGGCCCAGTTGTGTATGAGAATTAGCATAAAGATGACAGCACAGTAACGGGTGTGTGCAGCTCATTTGGAAGGCTGCTTGCTTAGTACTCACGAGGCTCTGGGGTCAGTTCCCAGCACTGCACACACTAGGCATGGTGGCTGGCACATGACTTTAAGACCGACAATCAGGTGGTAGAGATAGGAGGATCAGAAGTTCAAAATCACCCTTGACTAGATACTAAATTTGAGGGCAGCCTGGTTACATAAAACCCTGTCTCAGAAAAAAGAAAAAAAAAAAAAAGGCGGCAAATAGACCTTTCAACGTGTCAATAGGTAGTTTGGGAGTCCTGGGAAGGGTGAGGATGGGTAAAGGAACACAATGGAACACAGGAACGAGCAACTCGTCCCAGTGAGAAGAAAACTGATGAAGTCTCAACATTTTAACTCCAGCCTGTTGGTGAGCTGCACATTCATTCACAGGCTCTGTTAAGTCCTGCTGGAAGGAACACAGGCATACAAGCCCTGTGGAGGGGAATGTGACACTACCCAGCCAAGTCACATATGTATGGCCTGGTCACGTTCCCTCTAGGATTCTAGTCCAGAAATTCTAATGGGAACACAGGGAAAGAATTCCTACCTCGGCATGGCTATAAGCCCCAGTTGTCTAGGGTGAAGGTTCAGCTGAGCCCCTGAGTTCAAGATCAGAGTGGGCAACATAGCAAGATCCTGTTTCAAAAAACAAAAACAAGAACAAAAAACAACCAGCTTGGCTTGGTGACACAGGTCTTTAATGCCAGCACTCAGGAGACAGAGGCAGGAAGATCTCTGTAGGTTTGAGGCCAGCCTAGTCGACATATCGAGTTCTAAGACAGCCAGGGATGCATAAAGAGACCCTGTCTCAAGAAAGAACAGAAAGAAGGGGCGGGGGAGGAAGAGAATGGCCCTTCAGGGAACTTGAGAGACGGCTCAATGGTTAGGAACACGTCCTGTTCTTGCAGAGGACCAGGATTCTGTTTCCAGCACCCACATGGTGGCTCACAACCTTCTGTAACTCTAGTTCTAGAGGATCCCTCCCCTCTTTTGAAAAAGAATGGGCCCATCAACCATCAGGCTTGGCTGGAGGGAGGGCTTGGGATCCCTACCTTTTATTACTGAACGGTTTGCTGCCGAGGGATACAGAGACAGGAGATAGTGCCTTCAGCTCACACATAAGGCCCCTGTTAACCTAAATGGATCACAAAACAGAATCAGCCGGGCAGTTTAATCCCAGCACTCAGGAGCCAGAGGCAGGCAGATCTCTGTGAGTTCTAGGCCAGCCTAATCTACAGAGCTGATTCCAGGGCTACACAGAGAAACCCTGTCTCGAAAAAACAAAAGACAGAAAAACCCCAAAACAAACAAACTAAAAAACCCCAAACCAACCAAAAGTTGTGAATCTGAGGATTCTGGTGAAGAAGAGCAGAGGGGGGGGGTGAGGGAGGTGGAGGGGGGGTAGGTAACAGGATGGGAGGGAGGTGGGGAGAGGGGAGAGTCATCAGAATGCATTACATACGTGTATGAAGTTGTCAAAGAACAAAATTGGAGAGACGGCCCGGCAGTTAAGAGCACTGGCTGCTCTTCCGCAGGACCTGGGTTGACTCCCGACACCCACACGGCCGCTCACAACCATCTGTAGTAACCCAGTTCCAAGGGGATTCAGCACCCTCTTCTGGCCTCTGGATACACCAGGCACAAACTAGTGTGCAGATAGACCTGTAGGCAAAACACTCATACACATAAAATAAATTTTTTAAATTAGAATAAAAAAGTTCACAAAAATGCCTATTCTACTGGAAAACAGCATAGACGGCTTGGGCTGGCCCTTTAGGGACTGGGGAGCCACGTCACCCCATGGAGGGACCCAGAGCAGGTGGCACATATGATTTTACACATTGTTTAGGAAATTATGAATAGCATTGAAGGGCATCCATGCTCTAAAAAATCATTTGCATTAACATGCTTAAAAGAGGGCTGAGGTACTTCCTTGGGTTTGATCCCCAATATCTCTCTCTCTCTCTCTCTCTCTCTCTCTCTCTCTCTCTCTCTCTCTCTCTCTCTCTCTCCTCTCTCTCTCTCTCTCTCTCTCCCCCTCTCCTCTCCTCTCTCTCTCTCACACACACACACACACACACACACACACACACACACACACGGGGGCGGGGGGAGGAACGTATTGAGGTGGTGTCCTGGGTTCTGCTGCACTTTGGTCTCCCACAGATCTCACTTGTCTGCCTATACTGAGCTGGTGAGAGACGACGCACGCTATCTGTATAGAGCAGCGCTTCTCGACCTTCCCATTAGCTGCGACTTTAATACAGTTCCCCCTGCTGTGGTGACCCCCAACCATAAAATTATTTTCATTGCTACATCATAACTTCAATTTTTCTACTGTTAGCCCGGCGGTAGTGGTGAATGCCTTTAATCCCAGGAGGATCTCTGTGAGTTCGAGGCCAGCCTGGTCTACAGCATGAGTTCCAGGACAGCCAGAGCTGTAACACGGAGAAACCCTGTCTTGAAAAAACAAAAAGAAAGGGGCGCAGTGGCAGCGCCATGTCCCAGGCGGAGTCTGGGAAGGAGTCAGTCGGGCCTGGGAACTGTTTGGAGTGACCATGGCCTTCGCTGTGCTCCCCGATGCAGCCCCGCCCCCCCCCTGCTGTGCATGGCCGCCATCTCCTTGCTGCACTAGGAGCTTCCTGGAGAACACCGGCTGGGGAACAGAGCAGGGGATTGGTGGATTCAGAGAGGGGTCAGGAATTAAAGCTCAGCTAACGAGCCTTATTTGATCTGTGAGGGTGCCACTGATAACAGTAAACTCGTTACTATCGTGTTGCTTTTGTTCTTCGGCTGAACACAGGGAAACCAGAGCCTCGGAAGAGATACCCTAGAAGTTCCTCTTTCCATTGTGACTGGAGTATTCATGTTTTAGCAGGCTCATCTTGCAGCTGACAAAAAAATGTAAAGTTGATGATAAAACCATTTATCTGAAGAAAAAAAGAATTTTGCTACTGTTATGAATCACAATGTAAATATCTGTACTTTTCAATGGTCTTAGATGACCCCTATGAAAGGGTCATTCGACCCAAAGGGGTTACAACCCACAGGTTGAGAATCACTGATCCACAGGACCCTCCACTTGAGTCCATACCCTCCATGAAGAACCAGAGCGTCAGCAGAATTCAAGCACAGAATAGCAACCACATGACCCACCTACAAAACAGCTTTGAGATTTTTTTCCCATTCCATCTCTTGGTGCAAAATATAAAAATGCTTCCCCAAATAAACACTCTGTAGAGTCAGCTTCAGCCTCATCAAAGTGGGTCCATCTCCGGCTACAGTGTGAATGGAAGAGTACCATACAGTTGCTGGAGGAGGGTGTAGGGAGGTTCTTAGATTGCATTTAGGGGTAGGGGATGTCAGGATCCTGATGAGGTGGGCTTGTGCTTCATGGGGACTCCAGGTGTATGATACATGTGGTCAGAGACAAGAAGTCTGGCAGAGGATCTGCAGGGCTGGAGAAATATGTGTGATTTGGTGCCCAGTGACCCCTGGGTGGCCCTGGCGGAATCTGAAGGTGTGAGAGAGAAAATGGGGGGACAGCAGTCCCAGAAATAATTCATGACTAAGAAGGGTGGACTCTCACCTGTGGGAAGAATCGGGCTTCATTGGGAAAAGGTATGTCAGGTGTGGTGGCAACTGGCTTTGGGATCAGCACTCTGGAGGCAGAGGCAGGCAGATCCCTGTGACTTCCCAGCCAGCTTGGTCTACAGAGTAAATTCCAGGCCATCCAGGGCTACAGAGTGGGACTCAACAAGGCAAGGAAGGCTGGAGAAAGGACTGTGCAGTTAACTCCGGTTCCAGGGGATCCAGGCCGTCTTCTTCTGACCTGTGGGCACCAAGCATGCCTTCGGTGCACAGACTCATACACATAGACTACATAAATGGACCTGAAAAGGTCGAGGGGCGGGGAAGGGCAGGCAGGAGTCTGGAGAGAGAGCCCAGTGGGTAAGAGAACTCACCCGGATTCAGCTCCCATGTCAGGTACCTCACAAATATCTGTAACTCCAGCCTCGAGACTCAATGCCTCTTCAGGCGCCTGCCTTCACAAGACAGGGACACACGCATACACATGTACCTGAAAAATAAGTTTAAAAAATCAGAAGGGTAAATGCAGAAAACCAAATGGGTTAGATAGCAGCCCCCAGCTGGCCTCTACCTCCCGTGACCCTCCTTAATTCTTGATGCCCTCTCTCTGGGCCCAGAGTGAGACCCAGACTTGCCATGACTCAGTTGATGAAATGCAACCCCATGGCTCATTAATTAGGAAGCCTGTAATTAGCCTGTCTCACAAGCGGGGAGCCTCCAGAGAGAACCCCTTTCACCTGCCTTCCTCCCCCTCACTCAGGGGATGGGCTCAGACAGGGGAGCTTTGCCCCCTAGACGGAAGAGGGGAGGGAGAGCGTGAGCAACCGGGGAAATGAGATGCTCGGGCACACGCGGATGTGTGTGATGCCTCAGAGAGGTCACCTATAATGAGACCATGGAAATGAGCTAAACTCGCAAAGTTTCCTCCTGGAAACCCGTAGGGAGATTGGGGTGTGGCCCAACCCAGCTGCTCCAGCTCTGCTGACAGAAGCTGAGACCGCAACCATTTATTTTTATTTTTATTTTTTTATTTTTGGATACAGGGTCTCATTCTACAGCCCTGGACAGCCTGAAACTCACTATGTATACTTAAAACTCGGAGGTCTGCCTGCCTCTGCCTCCTCTGTGCTAGGATCAAAAGCCTGAGAGACGCCAATACAAGTAATAAATACATTATTTTTTTTTTGCGAGACAGGGTTTCTCTGTGTAGCTTTGGCTGTCCTGGATCTCGCTCTGTAGACCAGGCTGGCCTTGAACTCACAGAGATCACCTGCCTCTGCCTCCCGAGTGCTGGGATTAAAGGCGTGTGCTACCACCGCCGCTGCCGCCGCCGCCGCCGCCGCCGCCGCCGTCCAACCCACCAATGAGGTTTTGAGTGTCTTGATCTATGACTTTGTTCTGTTACTGTAAAATCCTCACGAGGGCAGGTAGGATGGCTGGAGGGGCAAATGCTTGCCTGATGACCTGAGTTTGGTCCCCAGAACCCATGAGGGTGGAAGGAAAGAACTGATTCCACCAAGTTGTCTTCTGAACTCCGTATGCACACAGCCCCCCCCACACACCACATACACACATAATAGTAATGAAAATTAAAAAATAAAACTTCATGAAACTGTTACCATGTTTGGGCAATGGCTTTGATAGTAACCTGAATTTGTGTTTCTGAGCCTTGGTACTCAGCCGTCAGGATCAGTGCTGGTCAGACACCGAGGTTGGCAATGGATCGCTAATGGGGGGGATGGGGGGAGAAAGGGGGGTGGGGGGGCTGCAGATAGCCAAGGTAGTTGGTCTTCAGATTCAGAACATTCACAGAAGTTTTAGTCACTAGTCCTTAACACAGGTAAGGCTTTTCCCCGGGCACTTCATTTCAAACAACACCACTGTGGGTTCAGTGCTCAGCCCCTCAAAAACAAAATTTGAGTGCATAAATGTCTTCATGGCTTA